ATCCATCACCAGTAACCATCTCTCATCCGCAAGCTACAACCGAGGTGCCCATCCATACCGTGCCTGCTCCGCGTGTGACGTTACGCATAACGTAGAGCCGCGCGCTCCGTGTGTGTTATGAAAGCAATTTACAACTCGCGCTATGGTACGATATTGGTACGTATCTCGTACGGCGCCGAGTGTGTGTGCCAACGGGGGCGTCGAGCTCATGCGCACCACTCACCGGTGACATGTCCCCAGAGCTGAGCAGAAATCTCTCATCAACAACACTGAGCTCTCAATCATCTGCAGATAACACACGAGCCTAGTGTGTGTGTGTGAAATCCATCACCAGCTCCCACCCACATCTCCAATCGATCGTATATAAGCGTGTGCCCTAGCGTCGCGCGTGACGTGTTGTGTGTGTGTGCGTTGTTGTTTACATGTGTGTGTGCGTTTGGTTCGCCCAGGTAAATCTCGTAGCAAGCATTTTCCGTCGAATATCCTTCTCTCAATCATCGTCTGCCGAACAGTACCACTCGCAACTCTCTCCTCCCCTGCCAACAGTCTATGTTAAGCTCAGTCTTCTTACCATCAATCACATGAGCACGTGAACGATCCTACCTCCTACGTAACAGATAGATAATATAACATACCGAGATTTCCACCCTCCATAATGGGAGTGCCACATCACTCCTCTCCGACCAGCATTTTTATTCGTCACAATATCTTAGAATGTAAGTACTTTTCCCCTACAATGCGAAGGGGGTTGGGGGTCGGTGGGTTGGTGGTGGGCGGACAAGCTGCATATACATACCATTCTACACTCACCGAGTGGGCGGCGAGCTCGGCATCGATTTCTCGCTCTATTCTGCTATTAAAAGTGGTCTGGGTGGTGCTGCGACAATATCCCCGTCTATATATATAAGGCTGTAGCCATGAATGACCATCCACACCTGACTTTCCTAACAAACTATATACCCAAAACTCATTCTATCAGAGCCTCGGAACTAGAACGGACTATAATGTAAAAGAACTCTTTAAAGGAGAGGCCACATCAGCTCACTGCCGCTCACACAGTACTCCCTCACGATGGAGAGATCCATGAGGCGCTCGAGCCAGACTCCACGCGGTGCGTGCCGATGTGATTCTTGCGTCAAGTTGGGGAGGGTGGGATGTGTAGAACACCCAGCGAAAATGCCAAGTGAAAATGGACACAACGCTTGAAATACATGACCATATAAAAACGATAATGGGAGTATTTCTTTATTTTTTTATTTTTTTATTTTTTTTAAGGGAAACAAAAAACGATAATAAAAATTCGACACTATGCGAAAATATAAAATACAAAAAGATAAAGATGTTTATAAAGAGCTACTCTATAGTGACACCTATCAAATCCATCCATGTATATCAAATCTAACATCCAAGATACAAACATCTAAATGTCACTAGTTATGTGCTCGTCATCTACGCTACGCACAAACGTGAACGGGCATAAACGGCCCTAATGAGATGATTTCGAGCTACAACCGGATGCCGGCATATCCCGATCTACATCTCCAAACTACTACATACAGAATAGATGTATTCAAAAGACCCGCGTACTACTATATATATTCGCATGCAAGCAGCACTTCACAGTATCTCTCCGTTTCAAGAGAAGTTAAATACCACAAAAACGTCTCACTGTAATATATATAGCACATCTCTACGCATAACAACCTACACTCAGAGATGTAATAACAAATAACATAAGAATACATGTAAAATAATCAATACACTCAAATGTCATAGAGAGAGGCAAAATAAGACGAGTGAGACAAAATATAACCACAAAATTACAGTACATATAGAGCCAATTATCCAATAATACACTAACTCTCGCACCTGGAAGCTCCCCAATAGACACCCACTCAGCGAGTGTGTTCAGCGTCACTAAGACACTAACCCTTAATGACATTGCTGGTTAGTGATGTTCAGCTCAGCTTCACATGTTGAACACACACTCATGTGCGTACTTCTCGTCTTCACATTATCCTATTTTATTTTAATCACTACATCCTTTTTTCCCTCTCCGCACTCAGGTTGGATTTATTTTCTGTTTCTATTTTGTTGTTGTGTCTGCTGTTTTGATGATGTTTTCTTTCTTTCTTTTCTTTTCTTCGTTTTTCTTTTCGTATTTTGTTCTTTTTTCACTGGTTACTGTTCTTTCTCTTTGTTGATGCTGTTTTCATCAGTTATTATTACGTATTATTATGTGACACAGTAACTGGTTGCTATGGCTGTAGTATCAACGCAATATTATTTAATATGGTTCATTAGTTAATCTGACAAACGGTTACTCACTCACTCAACTCTCTCTCTCTCTCTCTCTCTCTCTCTCTCTCTCTCTCTCTCTCTCTCTCTCTCTCTCTCTCTCTCTCTCTCTCTCATCTACTCTCTCTTCTCTCTACTCTCTCTCTCTATCCCTATATATATGTATTATATATGTGTATGCTATATATTATATTTATATATATATATATATATATATATATATATAATATATATATGTGTGTGTGTGTAATATATATATATATATATATATATATATGTATGTGTGTGTTGTGTGTGTGTTTGTGTGTGTGTGTGTGTGTGTGTGTGTGTGTGTGTATGTGTGTGTACACACACACACACACACACACACACACACACCACACACACACACAACACACACACACACACACACACACACACACACACACATATATAATATATATATATATATATATATATATATATATATATATATATATTATAATATATGTATGTATTATGCACACAACACACACACACACACACACACACACACACACACACACACACACACACACACACACACACACACACACACACACACATACACACACACACACATATATATAATATATATATATATTATATATTATATATTATATATATGTATATATATATGTATGTGTCATGTGTTCATGCACACATACATACACACACAATATATAAATATATGATATATATATATATATATATATATATATATATATATATATATATATATATATATATATATATATATATATATATATATATATATATTATATTTATTTATATATATATTGTATATGTGTGTTTACCTATGTCAGCGTATGTAAATGCCCTTAATTACTGTGCGAGGACAAGCGAAAGTTGACATCTTTTGTTTTCCAGTGAAAAATGATAAGCTGCGATAACCACACGTGTCGCGCAGTCAAGCTGGTCATTTGGGTCACATAACCGTTTGTCCGCGTCAACCTACGTCTGGCAGCCCCGAGAGGAGAACGAGGGCCATTTATCGAACCGAGATGGGGGGGGAAACGATCGTAAAATTTGCTAAACGTCGAAAATAGTGTTTTAAAAAGAATGAAGGCTTTAAAAAAAGGAGATAGGAGTTGATATCTCTCTTTTATGTTCTTTCTGTTCTAGTTCAAGGTTGCTACAGCTAAGTGTCTTGTCCATACATCCCGTTTTTTGTAAGCCGGTTGACCTAATGCGGGTGTAAACAACAAGTCGCTCTCAGGGAACAGCTGATCGAGATAGAAACACGGCATCAAGCGTGGCGGTATATTTTGTCGTATCTTTTGTTGTACAGACAGTTAATGAGGGGTTGAGGGGGGTGTTGTGAAGTGTAGATGTGTGCAGGTGTTGACGTATTGCTGCTTGTGGTGGGAACGTTGGTTTGCTAAATTTTCCGGGATTTTAAGTTAGTCTCGTCTGTATGGGGTAATTTTTCTTTCTTCTTTTCAGTTTTTTACTCTTTTTTTTTGTGTCTTTTCACGTTTTTATTTTTTCTATTGTTGTTTCTAGCATTGATTTTGGTATTAGTAGTAATGATTTTCCCATTTTATTTAACCATCTTTATGAGACTTAAAATTAAGTTAACGTAAATTGGCATTTTCATTCATACGCATAAAACAATATTATAATCATCTATTCCTATGAAATTCCTCTTAAAAATGCACTTCCTTTTTCTACCGCTTAAACAGTCCAATCACAAATCAGAAAATAAAGTCGGCTGCTACTTGCTTGTCGTAGCAACATAATTATGTTTTAGTAATTACACCGGCAGTATGGCCTCAAAAAGTATTATTCAGTCCTCATAATTTCGGTTTGTTTACACATTCCTCATTTCGTGTGGCTCTGCTAATCTCCCTTTTTCCCCAACAGGAGACCATGACAGACGGCAACAGCGATTCGGCCGACGAAACCCTGGATGGCAACGTCACCCGCCTCAATTCCTCGGACGCAACGAGTCCCAGTGATCTTGCTAGTTCTTCCGACGCGAGTAGCACCGCCAGGATAGCGGACCTCGCTGCTCTGACAACCCGGAACCGCTCTTCTGTCCCCACCAGCTCTTCTGTCTCCGCTCGTCCTACTGATCCAGCGGGTTTGGGCGATTCGGCGAGCGGCGGCGGCGATCCAGCGAGACTCACGGATCCAGCGAGTCTCCGCGGTTCGACTGGCCTTCCTGGAGCAGTTGCGCGCGCCGATTCGGGTCTTCTCGGCGGCTCGACGGGTGTCCCCGCTACTGACGGAGGATTCCCCGCCACGCCCCTGCCCTCCGCCCGCCTCTCGCGCCCACCGACAGCGCGAGTCCTTCCTCCTTCACGGCGCCGACTCCGACGCCTCCTCGTCCCTCTGTGCCTTCTCCTTCTCCTTCGTCCGTTTCTCCTTCTGTTCCTTCCTCCTGTTCTTCGTCTTTCTCTCCTTCTATTCCTTCTTCCTTTTCTTCGTCCGTTTCTCCTTCTATTAATTCTTCCTGTTCTTCATCTTTTTCTCCTTCTTCCGCTCCTTCTCCCTGTTCTTCGTCTGTTTCTCCTTCCGTTCCTTCTTCCTGTTCTTCGTCTATTTCTCCCTCTTCTTTTCCTTCTTCCTGTTCTTCTTCTACTTCTTCCTCAATTCCCTCTTCCATTTCTTCGTCTATTTCTCTCCCTTCCATTCCCTCAGATCCTTCTCTCTCTTCTCCCTCCTCCACCGTATACGTGAATGGACACAGAAAAGAAGAGCAAGAGAGACACGAAAACAAAGAGATGAAAGAGAAGAAGGAACTGGAGATAATGGAAGAAGAAAGAGACGGCGATAAAGAAGGCGAAAGGGATAAAATGGAGGATAAGTTAGAGGATAATAAAGATAAAGACAAGAATGGAAATGTGGAGAGAGAACCACAGAAGGAGGATAACGTAATAAAGACCAGAAACGAGAGAAGAGAAGAAGAAAAGAAAAAGCGAATGAGGAGAATGAGAAAAACAAGGATAAAGCTACGGACACAGCAGACTCAGAGAAGAAGGGCGATAGTACAAAAGAGGAAAATGGATATCACGAAAGGGAAATAGAGCAACCAAAAGATAAAGATGAGGAAAATGAGGGACGAGCGACCTTGCTTCAGCCGCCCATCGGAGAGAACCAAGTGTTGGAAAGCCGAAGGGTCGTGGCTGCTTTGGTAAGTATTACACTCATACACTCATACTCACGTCCTACACGTTCATACTTACACTCATAAGCATATTCATATACTCATACACTCATACTTACACATAAACATATTCACATACTCATACACTGATACTTACACATATCATATTCACATACTCATACACTGATACTTACACATAAACATATTCACATACTCATACACTGATACTTACACATATCATATTCACATACTCATACACTGATACTTACACATATCATATTCACATACTCATACACACTCATAAGCATATTCACATACTCATACTTACACTCATAAGCATATTCACATACTCATACTTACACTCATAAGCATATTCACATACTCATACACTCATAAGCATATTCACATACTCACACTCATACTTACACATATCATATTCACGTACTCATACACACTCATACTTACACATTAACATATTTACATGCTCATACACACATACTTACACGTAAACATATTCACATACTCATACACACTCATACTTACCCATGATCATATTCACATACTCACACACACTCTTACTTACACCTAATCATATTCACGTACTCCTACACACTCATTCTTACACTCATAATCATATTCCCATACTCATACACACAATCACCCTCATACTCACACGTGTAGTAACACTTATACTCACAATTGTTCTAATACTCGTATTCACAATCCTACTCATATTATTCGCCCTAATACTCACGCACGTCCTCATCCTTATACACATATCCAGAAATACACAAACATACACACATATGGATAGACACACAAACAAACTAACGAGCAAATAGATATACACAAATAAACGCACACACACACACACACACACACACACACACACACACACACACACACACACACACACACACACACACACACACACACACACACACACACACACACACCTATTTGCCAAACACTAAAATAAGGAGTTCTTCGAGGTTCAAGGGGTTCAATGGGTTTTGTTATGACGTCATTTTGTAGAGTGGTTTAGTGTTGGTTCTCTCTTTTTTTTTTTTTTTTTTTTTTTGAAGGTGACTTTTTCAATGCGTGTGTGTATAGGTAATTTTTTGTGGCATCCCGAAATCTTAAACACTTTTATATACTCGGTCGGTTTGTTAGAATTGTGCGAGGCCCGACCCAAAGAATATTCGTATACTTGCCATGCATAAATTAATAAAGAAACGCATATTTATCAGTCTAGACATGCATATCAACCCGGCAAATAGATAGTTAAATGTATATCTATCAGATATATAGACAGATATGCCTTTATTTCTGCATCTGTATTTATGAAAATTCATTGGGTCGGGCATGGCACAATTTTAACAAACCAGCTGATAGTTTAATGTATTTTCGCTATATAAACACGACAGCATCAAAGTTTGTACTGACCTACAAAGTCTTGAAAAAAGGATTTGTTTTTCTTAATATCACATGAGAAATGTAAATAAAAAAACATTAAAATACTTTATATGCAGGTATAATTTTTAACTAGAAGCAAAATATGGTAGAAGTTTCAAATAAAATGGAAAAAATAAATAATCACTGCTAATATGATGGTTATAAAGACTAATCTTTGTTTTACAAGGCTGTGGAAATTTTAAAATGTATTTGTCAGATTCAGGCAATACTCTCTCTCTCTCTATCTTCTTTCTTCTTCTTTCTTTCTCTTTCTTCTTCTCTTCTCTCTCTCTCTCTCTCTCTCTCTCTCTCTCTCTTCTCTCTCTCTCTCTCTCTCTCTCTCTCTCTCTCTCTCTCTCTCTCTCTCTCTCTCTCTCCCTCTCTCTCTCTCTCTCTCTCTCTCTCTCTCCCTTCTCTTTCTCTCTCTCTCTCTCTCTCTCTTCGCTACACACGCACTTCGTCGATACGTCAATCACTCTCTACTCTCTCCTACACAATATACACCTCCTCCTAGCAAAGATGTCTACTGACTTTACATTTTTCTATCCTCATCATGCTTTGCTCTTCGTCTTACCTCACCACCTACTGTACTATCTACTTTATCTCGGATCATTCCATTACAGGTTTTTCTGGGCCTTAGATCCCTGGCTATGTCCTCTTCTCTCAACGTCTTGCCTGGGTGGTGATAGTTATCTTCTCCCAGTCATTTTCGTTGGCAAAAGAGTACTCTCTCTTGTGGTCTATATTGTATCGATCTCAGAAAACTTGCATCGTGGCTTATCACCAATCGCACCTCATGGCCCAATGAGGAGGGAAATCCGAAGACGGTTATGTGAATTAGTACACTCTCTCTCTCTCTCTTCTCTCGGGCTCCTATGCTGGGTTGGTCAAAAGCCTTCTCCACTTGACTCTATGTAAGAGTTATCCAAGCAAACCGCTAAGTTTATTCGCAAGATCCTGCGTCGCTCTCTTATCCACTTTACTTAATAGTAAGTCTTCACTTATGTATGCAGTACTTCTCGCCTCGTATCTACTCTCCTATACAGGAGCGTGGTAAAACAACTAGGCACAACTGACAGAGCCGAGCAGGAACGAAATAGCTAGAGCGACGTCGAGCAACACTGATTACGGTCAACAGAATCCAGGACAATGCTGTAGATAAATCATTGATGACGAATCTTCTATCTAGCAATGAAGAAGCCTACCGCGCACCATGGAGTGGTTTTGGTAAGTGCCCCTTAAGCCCCCTCATATCAGGAAGATAGAACTGCTTCATTATATAGAAATACTCAGGTGACCTGGACTACGTCCGTATGTTGGTGACCCTGACCCGATGAAACGCGACTAAGCTGGAGTGACCCTGAACCACTTAGTGATGTTGCGCCATGATACCGAGTCGCGATATTGGAGTTGACCCTGACACTAACCCATTAGTCGAGTGTGCGGTATGAGAAGCCTGATCACGAAATGGTAGGTCCTCTTTCTCTCTATACGACATCAAGAGATAGCAAGCAGCTGAAGCGAAGATGAGCTGAGAATGAGACAAGACTAGTGGAGGAGAGAGTGGATCACGGAGCAGTTATGGGAATTAACCTAGTCTGTTCTTCACTAATTGGTTATATCTTTGCTATTATTCTCCCTTCACTATCTTGTTTGTCATAATATCCAAGTGTGCATATGTCCTCTAATGATTGCAGAATGCAATAAAACTCCCATAATGTTAATTATTGATATGTCTGAAGGTGTATTAATTGTGTTATAGTTTCCATATTTTATTGTAGAAATACCAATTGCATCTTACGACTCAATATAACATTTTATTTTTTTTCTAGATGCTCTTGCATTATCTAATATTATGAAAGGTAAACTACATAGTAGTAGAAAATCTCATTCACTGAGATAGTCTGGAATCTCATGCAGCCAAGAAAAGCATAGCAGTGGAGACCTGAAGTAGAAGGAAACTTGGATCCTATTTGTGTGAAGATGTTGAGCTCCGAGAATATTATAGTGGATGATAGGAGAGCTTTGTTTAATGAATAGGCTGTGTTTTTATGTAGTTTTAATCGATGGATTGCATTGTAGTGTGGCAAAAACATACAAATCGCTTCTATTATTTCATTCAATCAGCCATTAAGTCAATAGATCATTGGTTTATCATCCAAGCATTTAATGTGATCGAATGCATATGTAAACATACCTACAAGCATATTCATACAATATAGTATCACACCACATCCAGATCCTACCATGCAATGCGACCAGTAAGACGGCTCAATATCTAGTTCGTTAAATACTGCAACCCTACTAAAGCGTGATAACTCACGGGGGATTATTCCATCTAAATTCCTACTACATATAGTTCACACAAGCGGTCACTTCAATTTGTAAATTAAATATCTACTTAATTTGATAACCGATTCGCACATTATTGGCATCAGCTGCTGAATATCTATACACTAACAGCTAAACACTATGTCAGATGGTTCACCGCAGCAAACCCAAAAGAAGACCAGCTACAGAATGTGCGCTATATTTGCGATAATCTTATCAACATAGCTACAATACATCCATAAGCTGACAGATCATCCATACAATCATCTCAGATTAGTCATTCGCATACAGATCAATTCGTATATAAGATATCGATCAATAACGAATCATGAACAATCAATATCATTTTACAATTCATCATCATCATCTAAATAACTCGTTGACAATCAATGACATACAAGAAACATAACGTCTATCCAGCACACACATTCATGCTGCATATACAATACTACGCATTGTCTGAGCATCTTCACCTAATCCACTGTCACAAAGTCTGCTCTATCTCACCCTTTGCACTCAAATAGAATTACTCAGCTCATGAAGATATCAGACATCACCGTTGTACACGTCATAACTAGCGTTGAGGACATGTGGATCCTCCATCTATCGGCTCAAGATGCTGGAGGCAGAGACCGTTCAGAGGATGGTCTAGGAATGACATATCGATGAGACACTGAAAGGCAGGGGAGGTCGGTGGGAAGGAGCTCCCCCCCAGCGCCTCCCACGCCCCCCGGCTGCTACCTCTCTCAGGTGGAGTTAAA